AGCCCGACCCCCCCCGGCTCCCCCCCCCTGTCAGGGGGGTGGAGAGCCAGAAGGTCCCCCCTGAGCCTCCTTTTCTCCAGGCTGAGCCCCCCCCAGCTCCCTCAGCCACTCCTATGAGATACAATGCATCATTTAGCGAATCTCACACAACCCCATAAACTCTGCAGCTCAGTCCATGAACAGATAACAAGCTTGGGTGAATAACCGTGTGCTTTAGCTCACAGACTCCCTGTTCCTGGCTGGGGTGAGAGCTGTTTCTAGACTGAGCAAAACCTTAGAGCTCTGCCTCCATCCTGGGGAACCAGCATTAAATGAACAACAGCAAAGCACTTCTGGTAGGAAGAGCCCAAAGAGGGAATTACTCCTCCCACCAGTCCCAGCACAATGTCCCAGGCTATTTTTGCCACACGCAGGTAAGGAACCCTTACATAAGGTGCAAGAGAACATCAACAAAGCCCACTCAGTTCTTACGTTGAATGCACCCAGAAGAAATAAAGTAGGTTGTAAACCAACTGAAAATATCAGCCGCAATATGGTGGAGGCGATGAGGGCGCGGATGCCGTGGGGCTTGGGGAGGGCGATGACGATGGCCAGGGAGATCAGCATGGCTGTCCACAGCAGCCCGGACAGGTGGGGCTCCAGGGTGCCTGGGGGGGGAAACAAACCCATTTCAACACCAAACTAACCAAATAAGTGCCACTTATGTCATCTTTGGTGGGGCATCCTCCAGCCTCGTGTGCAGCCATCGCTGATTCCAAACTAGCGAGTGGAACATCTGAGCCCAGTGCCTGCAGCAGCTTTTAATTACAAACTTGTTACTAAGTTATTATGTAAATGATACGTATTATAGGATTCTTCATTCTTGTGTTCATCACTGGTACACCTGAATGCTGAAAGACCTTTTGCAGATGTGTTCTGCAGAGGCCCTGCCTGGGCAGGTAAGGATGGAGCTGATGCTCCTCCAGGTCTGGAGCCACAGAAGAGTCTCCTGAAATCCTTTTGGTCAAACCCTCGTACTAGTTTTTGTCATCTCTTGCTATTCCTGGTTCTATTTCGACTGTCCCATGAGACTGGCTGCTTACATAACATAGAGCCCGTGTTCTAAAAATACACTTCCCTGAAAGAGCCGTAAAAAATGTTCAGCCAAAAATACCATTTACCCTGGGTTTATGCAGAATAAGACACTTCTTTCTTAAAACTGACATAATTTTTGTCTTCAAGCAACCTGTTCCTCAACAGACAGAAAGGCCAGACCCCCCAAATTTCACAGCACCCTGCAGCCCTTCTGCAAACATGTACTCAGAGAACTTATGTCTTACTGGCAGGATCCTCACTAAGGGCTTTATCCTCCCCCTCCCAAATTCAGGCAGCTTAGGAAATATTACTCTCATCTGACTACCACGAGCAGCCATTTAATTTTGTTCCAAATCACTGTAGATTAATAAAGACAGCAGAGGATAGATGGAAATTAAAACTTAATAAGCGTAAAGTTGAGCAGCTGTTTCTGCTGCCTGAAGGGAGCCTGGGATCCCGGAGCAGCGCTGCCACCGGAGCTGTCACACAGCACAAGGTGCAGAGCCTGGCATGGACTCACCCGAGCAGGAACAGCAACAGCACGGAGAGGGGAGAGAGGAAAACGGGAGGCAGCTCGGTTAGGAATGACTTAGGAATTGCCAGGAGGGGCAGATCCTGAAGGATCTCACATGCACAGGTGTCTGAGCATCCCAGCTATTACACAGCTTGGGAATATATTTGCTGTCACGAGTTGCAGCAGTTCCCAGCAGGCCTGAAGAAATGCCTGGAGCTCATGAAGTCCTCAGGTGTTGCCTGAACACCCACCCAGGGCTGGCCTGGAACTCCAGGCTGTCCAGCAAGGACAATGCCAGGACTTCAGCAGGACCCAGGTCACTTCCAGGACAGAGCAGGGCTCCGGGCACAGGCTCCTCTCTCCTTCCCAGGGGCAGAGAGAGGCTGGGAACAGACTGGGAGCAATGTCCTTGCCCTTGGCACCTGAAGCCAAAGGCTGGTCACTCACCAACTGTCTGCACCCAACCCGACACCAAAGCCTTGCTGGGAGCACGGGGGGTCATGACACGACCGCAGGCAGGAGGAACGTGCAGCCAGTAGGAAGTTCTCCCTGTCTCTGGAATTCTCACCATTCCAGTACCGAATTCCAGGCATCCAGTTTTGTTTCTGCTCCTCAAGTCAGAAGTTTTACAGCTTCTGCTACTGTCAGATGCTCATCAGCTGCTCAGTTCACCGTGTCTGAGCAACTCAAGACACTGACAACTTCCCCCAAACAGTCTGTTTGGAAGAGTCTTTTTTTTTTTAACCTAAATATAAGATACACATGTATTTATTTTACTTTTTTTATTCTAACTAGTAGAGGAAGAGATTTTATCATAATGTTGCCTGACAAAGAATTTCAAAAATGTAGGGTAGGGCACCTTCAAAATGCCAAATGATCCCCCCAAGTCTTGCAATTTGTAATCTCAACAAACTCATTTAACCAGCAGCTTTCTCGGCAGCAATAAATAAAGACCTTTTAACTTGTGATCTTTGAAAGCAGAGAGAGAAAATTCAGTTGCTCTTTGGGCTTGTTGAAACCTTCCAGGCAGAAGGGATCTGGGCACCCCCACTCTGCTGATGGTAGCACAGCCTGGTGGCACTGATGGTAGAAGGTAAAACTATTCTCTTCCCCCTCTCAAGAACACAGGACTTTGGTCTAAAAGATCATTCTGACAGGCTTTATCAGGATGCAAACCCTCTAAACACAAGGAAAAAGCTCCCACCTGGACATTCCCCTTACACCAATACACACAATAGGGATTCACAACAATATTTGAGTATTTCTCCAGATTTCCCAATTCCTGATGACACGACTCCAGCCCTCGACCTGCCCTGGGGTGCAGCTGCTGGGAGAGGCTGGATCTAGGGATGAGCAGCTGGATCTCATCAGGATTTACTGTGCTGGCTCCAAGAGCCAATAGTGTCACACAAACCCCCAGGCTGGATCAGAGGCAACTTCCACAGGACCTGTTACAGCGGGACTGTGAAATCCCACAGGAGTTATCCCATAACTTGTGTCAGCAATGCTGGCAAGCCCTGCTGCTGCCCACTCATGGCAAGGGAGCTCAGAGCAGCAGGTTGGTCCTGAGCCAGGGGACATGGAGGCTACTCATTCCCTATGGGAAACCTCTGTCCTCCATGCTCCTGGGGGTGAGGGAATCCTGGAGTTGGGCTCTTTTTCCATATGCTCCATCGATTTCTAATGGCACAAGGCAGGTCACTTCACCCCTGTACACCTCCCCTGCCAACACAGGGTAATGTCACCCACTCCCAGCACTCAGAGGCCTCAGAGAACCAGGAAAACTGTGTGGAAAATGTCATTAATGAAATGCAAGCTCAAGGAAAACAACAAATATAACATTTTGCCTATTTTTAGTTCAATACTTAATTGCAGAACTTTAAACCAAAGTAGAACATTCAAGTAATTAAAGGTGGATGTTTGTCTTGGATAATTTTTTCCCCTAGGAAAAAGCACGGCTCTGTATTTTCCTTACAAATGCCTCAAGAAAGAGTAACAACAGCACAATTTAAATTGAGGCAATTAAAAAAGCCAATTTCTGTTCCCCTATTCCCACTGAAGCAAACAGTGATGCACAGAGTTTGGCTCATTGTACCTTCTTTGTTCACGTATTTTTGTATGTTAAATATTGGTACCTCCTCGAATTCCTTTGAAGGGATAGAAAAATGCCACGAGCAGGTTCATGAGGACAGCCAGGTTAAAGGAAATGCTGCTCCAGAAGGACATGTTCCGAGCACACCAGTACAGGAAAGGCTGAGCTGCAAAAGAGAAAAACAATTCTTTTAAATGGAGGGTTAAAAAAAAAAAAAGTCTATATAGAAAATTATCTCCACCAAAACTTCAGTTTCTTTTCAGTTTGCCGAAAAGCACAGCATCAACAGTAATAAACTTCAGAACAAGCCATGAATATTACTTGATTATTCTTCATCTTGGGGGGAACTTCAAGTTTCCTAGATGGTGTTTTAAGGCAAAGGATTCATGGTTTAGCAGTGGCCAGAGAACAAGTTCAGAAATTGCAGAGACCAAGGACTTCAGGCTTCCCCTAATAACATACTTTGTACTCAGTCACCCCAAGAACAATTAGGAGGAGGAAAATGAAGGGTGAGGTTCAGCCCCATCCCTCTGTGTTCTGCTGATGCCAGCAGCTCACCTGCACAAGACATTGCCCTCCTAAAAATGTAATTTTTGCTGGTAACAGCCCAGAATAGCCCCAGAATGATCCCAGGTTGGAGCTCTCTGACCCTCCCTCTGCCGGGGGGCAAAGGACCCAGTACATCTGCAGAGAGCTCCCTGTACAGTCCAACAGCTGCACACTGAAATTCTTCATGTTACACAGACATACTTTTCAAAAAAACCTCCTGATTTGAATAATCCCTGCACAACCAAGAGGCAGAAAGCAAAAAGATTCCTTGTCTGAAGTGGTCGTGGACCGTAAGTTGACAAGGAAGGCAAGAAGCTGCCTTGCAGTAATTCCCTCTGCATCCAGGCAAAATCCCCCTGATTACTGCACAGCAAATTGTGTCCTCCTGAAATCTAGAGCAGTGGAAAAAATCTATTAAAAATGCTCTCAAAGAAGAGATAGAACTGTTTTCCCTCCTTGGAAGGAGGCAGAGTGTTTAGGTATCAGAGAGCAAAGAAAAAGCTCACAGCAGAATTCAGAAACAAGCCGAAATAAAAATCTAACGGAATATATGGATGATGTTGAAGTTGCCAATTTGTTTAGGATGGCATATATTCCCCTATTTCTTGCAGACCTCTTAGGTGATTTTAGGCAGCACTCCCACATGTGCCCTAGGAGGAGATTCCAGACCAGTCTGTGCTCTTAGACCAAAACCTGGAGTTGAGCTGATGCACAGGAGGGGAACAGCAGTGGTATCAGATGGCAGGAGCTGACTGGAGCAGGAAGTTACTGCCTTATCTCTCACATTTCAGAGGGTCACTGCTGGCAAATTCTGACCACTCACCACTGCCCACTGAGGCTGAGCCTCAGCTGCAACATTTGGCCCTCAGTAAAACAAGAAATCAGCTTTTAAAAAGAAAAAAAAACTCAAAGCAAATGAGTTAGAAAGTTTATGGGGGACGTGGTGGCAGTGCATGAATTAAAATATCATTAGAAAGGATTTCCTGGCTGCCAATGGGAATCTCAGAGGGAAATCAGTGCTTGAAAATGCTTGCTTTCAGATATTTTATCATCACAGGGCTGGGAGTGACTTATTAGCCTGTCAGTCAATTCCTTGCCCAAAGAAAGAACCAGTTCTACTTCACTGTCACTGGGAAATGCATGTTTAACCTGTTCTTAAACAGCTCCATTGCTGGAGATGCCAAAGTCCATAGAATCATTAAGGCTGGAAAAGACCTTTAAGATCATCGACTCCAACTTTGCTGCATCACCCACCCTCACCCCTCCCTGGAACACGTGGGAATTCAGCACAGGGAAGGAGAACGGGCCACTGCTCCCTTCAGCTGTGTCCTCTCCCTTTCTCCCTGCCACATTCTCATTTAAGCAAAGCCTCCACAGATTTGTTCCTTCCCACTGGATCTTAAAAAAGACGACCTGTGCTCCTTCCTCCTGCTCTCCCCTGGATCCCCTCCAGAGGGTCCATATTGCTCCAGCATTCATTGCCTGCATCACAGCATCTTGCCATCACGCAGAGGAGCAGCTCTTACAAACAATTATCGAGGTTGGTGCCACATTGGGAACCATCTGTTACCCAGCCAACGTTTCCGACCCCCAAACCCCGACCCCAGAGTTCCGCTGGCACCACTCCCCGCGACCGCGACACCAACCCACCTCGCAGCTTCTTCTGCCAGTTCATCTCGTTGAAGAGGTCCTCTGATTTTAGGAAGAAGTCGTTGATCTTGCTGCCCTGCTCGTCCCTCTCCGTGGTGTAGTAAATCCGCAGCTTGGACTCCTTGGTGAGGAACTCGCAGATGCTGGGCACGGGGAAGACGATCTGCTCCATGGTACGGTCCGACCTGACAATCTGAACAGCAGCCCCATGAGTCCTGCCTTGCTCTTAAATGCTTGTATTTCTTGAGTTTCTGCCTTTTTTTCTCCCCTTTGAAACATGCAGAAACTTGGACAAATTTCTGTACAACAGCAGCCCGATAGAGGTTTCATTTAATTTACCTTTCAAAGCAGGTCTGCATTTAGCCCCAAGGCTAATTTCTATGCCATGGTCTAATCCCAGCAGTACTGGTCTGAGCTGGGATTTCCAAGGGGCCCAGTGGATCCTGCACCAAAGCTGGGATGGATTTCAGAGCAATGTGGTTGCCCAGTTCAAGAATGTTGGTAAATTTTAGCCACAAGCAAGTGTGAGGAATAACAGTTATACCTGTATTGTTTACTAGAGAGTTTTGTGAAGTCATATAAGCACAGAATGGTTTGGGATGGAAGGGACCTTAAAGCCCATCCAGTGCCATCCTCTGCCATGGGCAGGGACACCTTCCACTAGCCCAGGTTGCTCCAAGCCCTGTCCAACCTGGCCTTGGACACTTCCAGGGATGGGACAGCCACAGCTTCCCTGGGAAATCTCCCTGTTCATGAGAATTTTACTTTTACAAAGCTCTTAGATGGTACATGAGGCCAAATTGCCATCAGAATCCAGAAAGAGTGGCAAAAGCTCTGACAAACTTCATGGATTCAGCAACAGCACCGGCCAAATTGTAACAGAAGTGAAGCCACACTTGTGCTGCCAAGAGAGCTCTGCTCAGCTCCATCCCAGAGCCCACACACGACAGCTCAGGAACAGCTCCCCCCGCCGCTGCCAGAACACCGAGGGAAGAACTAAATGCAGGGATATTCTGTGTCAGGGATGGCAGTCCACACACAGGTACCAGTGCAGCCACCCTGTCACGTGTGATGTCCAAGGGTTAACTGCACTGGTTCTCTCCCCAGGGGCTCATCCCACTCCCGGCAGGCTCCGGGTTCCCCGTACCTCGATCTGTGCCGTGTGCTTGGCGTAGAACTCCAGAGCCTCATCCCCCTCGATCTGACCTCCCGGCTTCAGCATGTTCTGCAGCTCTTTGTTGTGACGAGCCAACTAAAATAAAGGAATGCACAGGGAGTGGGAGACACCAGATGTCTCTCTGTGATATTAAATTTCTGATTTTTGGCATAAAAAAAGAAATAGTACACAGTCAGCTGCTAGGAAAGGGCAAAGTTGACAGAAGGCTTGTTCTGTTCCAACCAGACACCCTGCAGCTCTATTTTGGGAGCAAGTCAGAATGATTCAAATATGTATTTTTTTAATACCAGTGTTGTATTCCTCTTTTCCCCACCCTCTCCTACCCTTTGCCTGGCTTGGGAATCTTTCTGAACGTTCACATTCGGTCTGTCCTTCTCCACCCACTCTAACCCAAAGGGGTGCTCATCACCCAAAGATCCAGGCAGGGACAAAGAGAAAATCTGCATCAACTGAACAGCAGATGCACAGACAAGTGCTCCAAAAATGCTGCTGGATGCTCCAAATCCATCCTGCAGCACAGTGATGGGCTGTCTGCTCAGATGCCACAGGAACAAGAAGTCTCTAATGCAGTAAGAGATGCAGCATCAATGTATTAAGTAGATTTAGATATGTTTTTCTCCCCTTTGGTTTTTTACCTTTCAAACACACATTTTCTCAATACAACAGCCCTGCTTGGCTCCAGCAGAGTGTGGCAAGGACCGAGATTTCTGCTCACACTTTAATTGATCAGTGAGGAGAATTTCTTTGGGAGTATAAAGTAACCTTTGATACAGCTGAAAAATAATACATTGCTGCTCAGTGCTGCCAAGAATTGAGTCACATGTCTTCGGAAACTCAGTCCAGAGCCTGCCTGCTCCCCATTATATAAGAAAATTCCCCAAATTTTCTTGTATTATAGGATTTTTGTTTCTGATTAAGGATTGGGATTTGCTCTGATAAGAAGGGAACGTGCAGTGAGTTTGTCCCAGAGATGAGCCATGAAAACAGTTCCAGGGAAAAGCAGACTCTGGCTATTCCCAGTTTGTGACTCATGGTGCTACAAAACCTGCAGGTGAAACTCTACCTGATGAGCCAAGATATAAATGTTGTGTCCCACGTTTCTTGGAGATGCTGCAACATCTTCCCCATTCTCTCCATCCTCAAATTCCACTTCTCCCTGCAGATAAGCCTTCTTGATCACTTCCACCTAGAAAAGGACACAGAGGCCACTGAAGAGGAGGCTCAGGCGAAGGGTGGAAGAGGGTCAAGGGGAGCAGAGCATGGACATGTTTCTCAACATCCAGGATAAACAGGTCTGACCAGCTTCAGCCCAGCTCATTGACACAAGAAACTAAGCTTTTGGTTCCCCCTGTTCTGGGCCACCCTCTCCTTGAGCTTTGTCACCTCCTGACCTCTGGTCACAGCTCCGAGCTCTGACACACATCAGCAGTGCTCCAGCTGTACTTGGCATCTCCTGGTTGTGTTTGCACCAGGTAATACATTACCCAGCCCCAAACCCTGCCACGGTCTACTGGACAGCTCTAAGGGCAAAAGAAATTTTCATTTCTCTGTCCCCTGTGCAAATAAATTCCATGTGTGGATACCTGCTCTTCCATGTGTGGATACCTGCTCCATGGCAGGGAGTGGAACAAGGTGAGCTTTAAAATCCTTTCCAACCCAAACCATTCTGTGATGATTCTATGGTTCCAAAGTGTCAGATGATGCTCCTTCCCTGCCTTACACAGGATGCTGAATCTCTGCTCCACAGCACTTGTCTAATCACTTGTGATACCTGGGAACTGGGCTGAGCCATTCCCTGTGGATACTGTGCTCGTGCAACCAGTCCCTTGTAAGGCTTTCCAGTTGCCAGTGAGCTCCCACAGTGTCTCTGGGGTGGACATGGCCATCCCAGTGTCCCCAGTGATGGAGCACCTGGCTTGAATGGAGTCAGGAGTTTGGGAGTGACCCAGGGACTCACCAGCTCCTTGGGCCTCATGTTGTAGAGGATCCTCTCGGCGTTCTCGCTGTCGTGCCTGCTCTCCATGATGGCCAAGAGCAGCTTCGAAGCATTGTTCTGAGGGAAAGACAACAATCACTGCCAGGAGCCAAAAAATGAGGGTACCCAGCTGGAGTGCCACCACACCCAGTGCCAAGAAGGGCTTCAGAACCTGGGTGCTACCTGGGTGAATCACAGGAAAGTATAATTGTCCCAGCCAGCCACCACGAGGCTCCTACAGCCTCACCTTGCCAACCTCCCTCTCCTCTAATTATTGCCCCATGCAACTTAATAGGATTTTTTTACCAGTTTATTTCCCAAATCCTACTTATTGGGAGACACCAAATTAACCCAAGACAAGGTTTAAGATTTCTAAAATGCTGCTGTTTCAAGCTTGTGTTACTTTGTTTTGTTTTAAGGATGCTGCAGCATCACCACAAGCTCTGAGCTCCCAAGTGGTGCAGCACAGCTTTGCTGAAGATGCTGCTGATTAAATCAAGGGACAGGCAGGGCTGAAGTCACAGACATGCTGTGCTGCTTTTAACTGAGCTCGCTCTGCAGCCTCCTCACGCCAAGAAAACACAGGGAGGAAATGGGAAACTACCACAAGGCACCAGACTACTTTAATACGAACAATTAAGATTAAAATCCATCATGCCTGACAATAAAACCCAATAAAAGTATTTAATTTTGAAGTATAATGCTAATTGAGTCTAAAAGCATTTTTTATTTACAATAATAAAAACCCCACATTACCCATAATAATGGTGTGAGTCGGCAACGGAAAACAAGGAGACACTGCAGTGTAAGGCAGGGCAATAAGTCAGAAAGGAAATATTTCTCAAACATAGGCTGAAGCAAGAGTGCTCTGGGACTGCTGTTGCTAGAAGGGAACCTGCTCCTCTATTTTGAAACCAGCACCAGGGCTAATTATTTCAGCATTAACATGAACAGCCCTAAAGAACTGTTGATGATTTAACATCAACTGATTAAACAATAAAGTATTAGCAAACTAGTTGTAACACAAGAAATTTCACTTCCACTGTGTATGTAGAAGCTCAGCAACAACAGAAAAGTTTTCATCAGCTTTAAATTTTTAACAGGAAATTATTTTAGGATTCCTCAGCATATCTTGACTGCCTGCATCCCCCACGTGAGAACTGGTGGCTCCATGTCATCATTTAAAAGATGAAATACCTGTGACAAACAATCTTTGGGCACTGCCTCCAGCTCTTTGAAGTACATAGTTTTTTGGCACTTAGGAATATTGGGATATAATAAACACCCACATAATTCCAACAATAAAATTACGTTTCATCTTACTGTGAACGTGAATTGCACAAAACATTCACTTGCCTTCAGTTCCAACACGAGGTCCATCCTCTTCTTTCCCAGAGGGTTGATGTCATTGAGAATTAAAGCTGTGATGATGTCAATGCCATTGGACTCGTGAGTAGCAATGCAGTTCTGGCCAAAGAAAATTCATCAGACTTCACTAATTGTCTACACCACAAACACAGCCCGGGCTGGTGACCCCGCCAGAACAGCAGAGTCCCCTCTGTCATCACCTCCAGATGGATAAACTGGACAGAAAGCTCCAGGCAGTGGAACAACAAAAGATTAAGGTATTTTCTTTCAAGCTTTTCCTCTCCTCAGCCATGGTCCTGCTGGAACCCCTTGACCTCAGGAAGCCCCACAGCTGATAAACGAGGCATTTCCATCCCAGAGTGCCAGGCTGGATGTGCAGCTACGGAAGAATCTGTTTGACTGAGATTAGGGAGAGCTTTCTTTATTTGAGGTGTGCCAATCAACACCTACTTCAGCCCTGTCTACCCAAAGAATGGGAATTTCCGGAACCTTCTGCTTACCCTTGAACTCTGCTTGTGGAATGATCTGGAACTAAAATGTTCCAACAACAGCAGCTTGCTGGCCTCGAAATCCAGAGCCCTGCTCTGTCATCGAGCTCCACACCTACATCTAAAGGGTTTTAGTCCACCTGGTTGATATAAAGGACACTCTCATGACCTGGCATTCACACCTTCACGTGTTCTCTCACAGAGATGTGAGAGACCTGTAGGGCAGGTCAAGTGGGCAGCATTACAAGATAACACCAGTCTGGCAGACAGAGCCAAGCCCAGCAGAGCTGGGGTTCAGGGGGGAAGGGGGATGCTTTTCCCAGCTCTGGATGTGTTGTTACCTGGTTCTCATGGCAGGGCCCCTGGCAGTACTCAGTCAAACTCTCCAGGGTCTGGTTGATGAGGGCCACGTTCTTCTCATTGATGTACAGCCCCAGCAGCCCAAGCCCCCCAGTTGTGCTCCCACAGATACAGTCCAGGAACTGCAGTGTCTCACACACCAGGTTGTAGTTTGTCTTGTTGTTCTGGCAGCGTAGGAAATTCTGTGGGGAGAGTGACAAAGCCATAAGGGAAGGGGAAAAAAAAGCATCCAAACTGCTGTTTGGTTGGTAGTGTTTATTAAGTTCAACCATCCCTAACTGCACTGCATGGTGGATTGCTCTAGGTTCACTGTACAAGCAGTTTAAGCCTCTTCCAGGGCTTATTTTCAATGTGCTGCTCTCTTGAGCAGCTTTTTGGCTTCACATTGTACAGAAGCCAAGCAGCAATAAACTGAGTGCATCCAATAAACAGTGCATCCATTAGAGGCTGAAACCCAACACGGAGCAGGCCCTTCACTGCAGGTCACAAAGCTCTCCTGAGCCTGGAAGGTTCCCTCTGCCTGCTCCATTTCACTGCCAACCATCACTCAAGGCCCTCTCCTCCCCAGACCTTTTTCCAGGGGGGGAGCAGAAATCCCTGGCTGTGGCCTCACAGCAGCTCCACCTGTTCAAAAGGCAGCTGACTGCACACCTTGAAGGAAGGAGCCTTGAAACACCATCCTCTCCACTGCATTTCTTCCCACATAATTACTGTAATTCCTGCTTGAAGCTGCTGATTAGGAGCAGCTCCTCTAATGAAATGCCAGATGTATCAGTGTGGATTTAACAGGTTTCTGCCCTCCTGTATTCCAAATGAAAAAACCCAACCAAATCCAACCAAAACCAAAGGACACTTAATGAACACCAGTTTCCCAGTGACTTGGATGTTGTCATTGCATTGCCAGCAGTGCTGCAAAGATGGACAGCCACTACCACTTTCTTTCCCTTGATGTTTCAGCAGGAAAACTCTTATTCTAGCAGGTAATTCTCTTAATTCTAGCAGGTAACAACACTTCCAAGGTGAAAAACCCCTCAGAGGAAGAAGAGACGTGGGACTATGGAACCAGCAGGGTCTCTTCTGCCAGCCCAGAGAAGCCCTGGTCCCTGCCTGCCTCTGGTGTCTGCGTCAGACTAGTCAGTCTTTTAAGGCAAACAGAGGGAGAAACTGCAGATTCAATGGAAGGCAAAGCTAAAAAAGGAAAATGCTGTCTATGAATGCAGACTAAAGGTGACAGTGATTCAGCACATTTCAGCTGATTGCTCATTTAGTATCCTGACTTCTGATTAACTTGTCAGAATGTAGAAAGGTTGATGCTACAGAAATCAGAGCTTGTGTCTTCCCTCCAGGAAAAAAATAAAAGATAACACTGAAAGTGATGAAATAAAATGTTCCCTGGCTGCAGCACAGCATTTGCTCTGCTTACAGCTGGGTTTGTACCTTAGGTGCTTGATCCACAGTCAGTAAACACAAAGGAGGGAGGAGGAATGAGGCACAAGAGCAGGAGGACACTGTTAGATGGGCTAAAACAAGGAGAAAGAAAAAACTAGAAAACAAGACCCTGCTGCACTGTGAGAAACTGCCCCAGGGAGTGTCTGCTGCTGTCCCAGCCAGTACAGAGAGACCTCTTCGTTTTCTGTCATCCAGAGCATGTCACAGGCTACAGAGTGGGAACACAGAGTACTGAACAGGCCATCCCACTGCTTTCCATGGGAATGATCCTGAGGGATGGACCATCTGAAAGACCCTGCACTCAGAATGAGGAGCCACAGAGATGCAGGTTCAGCTGGAACGTGTGGAAAATATGCATCAACTCATTCCTCCCAGTCCTTGCATTCATCTGAAGAAGGTATTGCAGCTCCTCCAGCCCCATGGAGAGAGCTGGAGGGAACAGCACCCTGTCTGGAGCTGTGTGTGGGAAGGGAAGCAGTGAGGGACACAGCAGGCACAGCACTGCAGCTGCTGGAGCACCTCAGATCCCTCCTCCTCCAAACACAGCAGCTCTCACGACCTGCCTTCCCCTGGGTTTGCACAGCAGCTCCTCACAGCTGCCAACAGCCTGGAAAGGCTTGGGGTGCCCGGCCCACACCGGCACCAGGCAGGTGATCCCAATTCACTGCCCATTCCAATGTAACCTGGCCAATTCTGGGAGAAGCACAGCTTCCAGAAGAGTCTTTCCTTATTCCTTCAGGCAAGGAGTCCTTTAGTATTATTGTAAGGAGCTCAGCTACATACAGTAGCTGCAGACACCAAGATTTTGGAGGATCAGACATCCTGCTTCTCCTTTGGGGCTGAAGGAGAAGGACAAGCCTCAAAGCAGTTAGAGGATTTGACTGGAAAAATTGTTCCACCTTTCCTTTAAAAAAAAAAATAAAAAAATCCTTTTTTCTCCCCAAGCTGACTACAACTACCTGCTGCTTGGGAAAGCTGATTGTTCAGGAGGGGGGAGAGCTCAGGCCAAGTTTCTGCACTGGCTTGACTTCAGCTCTACTCCTATAGCTGTGGGGCCTCGCCAAGGGCAGCACAGATCCTGTACATGTGGTTTGGAGCTGTGCCACAGGAACTGCTGCCTCCGACATCCCAACGGCACCAAAACCTCTGACAACACACACATCAAACAGCTTTTCTTCTTCAAAATGAGAGACACGCTGCTGTGTGTAACTTGGGCACTGACAAATGCTCCCGAGCAGCAGGCTGGGAGCACAGGGACGTCTCCCGGCTGGGATCCCACGTGCTCCGGCAGCAGGGCATTCCCGAACAGAGGAAGCGACTTGGCAGGGCTGCAAAGCTCTCACACAGGGTCCCCACTGCTGCCGTGTGGGGAACAATGTGCAATCAAGGCAATTATTCCTCTTTATGAGGGCATTTAGCACATTGCACGGCGCCTCATCAGCTCCTCGGTTCTAGCCCAGCAGCAGTGGCTGCGCTGAACAAAAATCATCTTAATTGCAGCCCCTCTGTGGGCAGAAATCTGCTCTCATGTGGAGGCACGTGCTGGGGTACAGGGCCTGGGCTCGCTGCTTAAAATTGTGCAAACACACCCCAGGGCACCACAGCTGAGGCTGCCAGGACCTTTGGAGACTGCCTATTCCAATGCCACTCACGGGGCAGCTGGAGCAGAGCCTGGCCCTGTCCTCTCCACATCCCATGTCAGGTATTTGTACACACAGTGAGACATCCCAAGTCCTCTTCCTCTCTAGCAGAAGCCCTGGCACAGGGTGCCCAGAAAAGCTGTGGCTGCCCCATCCCTGAAGTGCTCAAGGCCAGGTTGGATGGGGCTTGGAGCAACCTGGGCTAGTGGAAGGTGTCCCTGGCCGTCAGATGCTCCAGTCCCTTGGTCATCTCTGACCTCCCTGCTGGACTCAGGAGCGCAGGACCGAACCCAGCATTCCACATGGAGCCTGGGGCATCCAGCTTGTTTAGATGCATGTCCAGCTTGTTTAGATGTTTCCTATCCCAATTCTCCTACACCAAGGGGGATTCTTCCTTGCTCCACACCTCACCACTGGTCTTGGGCATGTAGGGCTGCTGAAGGTCAGCCTTATCCGTAAATGGCAGGATGTAGGTGGCACTGAGTACCCTGACCTTCTCCCTGTCCTTCATCACCAGGGTCTCTGCCCATTTCCAAGATCCATGCTCTCCCCCTGCTCTGAACACAACCTAGAAACCCTTCTCATTGCCCTTCATGTCCCTCAGCAGATTAAACTTCAGCTGAGGCTTTCCTGACATCATCCCCATGTGTCCAACTCTAGACATGTGAACAGACCCATGAAAACCCAGGAGAACCTGTTCACTGAAAAGAAGCATATACTCAAGGGCTGCTTTATTTTCCTACATGACTTCGTTTTTTCTTTCCATCCCCTCTCAAAAGCAGATCAGTAGCTTTACAGCAGGAGACCTGCTTGTTATAAGCACATACTTTAAAAAAAAACCCCACAAGTGTCGGTCCCATCACCTAATTATAGACACTGAAAAGACCAGTGAGCCCTGGATAACTGAACTTCCTCGTATCAGTCCGGCAAGGTATAAATACTTTTTTTGAGATTAACTTCAAGGCCAAAGAAAACAGTTGGTCACGTGACCCATTTAAAAAGGCACAGGATTAGGGAGAGAAATGGGACCTGAGTACACCTGCCCAGGCGCCAGGCGGTACCTGCAGATCCCGGTTGTGGTTTTCACAGAGCAGCTGCAGGAACCGCAGGATGGGCTGCATGATGGAGATGACAGCACTCATCTCCAGGTCATCCTTGCTCTTGTCTGCTGCAGCCTGGGCCCCCTCCCCAGCCGAGTAGTGCTCCTCGGGGTCGGCCTCCCTGCGGTACGTGTTGTACGCCTTGCGCGTGGCCGCAGACGCCTCCAGCAGCTGATCCCGGACCTCCTCCGTGATCTGGGTCATGGGCTCCCTCACTACAACACACAAGAGCAGACCTTCCTTATGGAAACTGAATCAAGGGGACCACAGCATCTCTGCACACGTTCCCACTACAGCTTCACAGGCAGGCCAGTCTTCACCAGCAGCCCTTTGGTGAGTACGTTTAGTGTGCTGTGAGGGTCTCGTGTCACACTCTGCACCTAGTATGCCAACCACAGTAATGTTATAAACTGGGTATTAACTGGTTAGGGCACACACAGTCTAGCTCTACTAGGAGTTACAATAAGAGGACCTGCTTTAGAAGAAAATTAGGGTTTCTCCAATTATTGTCAGAGAAGGCACTGACCACAACCCACAGTCCAGGGTCGTTACTAGGGATCAGATTTGGGCAGCTTGTCACGAGAGACAAGGCAGCAGAGTCTCATCTCAAACATTTTCATCGTTTCAATAGCACAACCTCCCAAATGGATGAAGAGGGGATGAAGCTCTTGAAAGCCCAAGCCAGGGCACCACTGATCTCTGAACTTTGCTCTGTGGGATCAGAGATCAGAGTATTATTGCATCAGCTGAAACGAGTTCAAAACACACTTCACTCCCTTGTCACTTCAGAAAGGGAACGACTGGGGATTACCTCTTTTCCTGTTGGGTACATCTCTGTCTGAGTCTTCATCTTTCTTTTTGTTTCCTAAGTCACTGGTGTTGACTGTGACAGTTGCCTTGATTTCTTGCTGTGCCACTTTCATGCGATCATAAAAAACCTTAAAGAACTTCTCGGATTTCTTGTCTTCCGTCAGTCGGCAGAAGAAGGAATGCTACGAGAGAAAATGAACAGGATCTGCAGCTGAATCCAGATTATCCCACCTTTCAGCACTGACTGGCATCCTGGAGGAACTGGAGGTTAATTAGTTGTCAGTAAACTGAAACCCAGAGCAATGGAAACTCGTACTTTATTGTTAAGGAAGCCCCAGTGTCTCAGCTTTGTTAACTCCCTTATTAACAACTTCAAATACATTATTAAAGAGAAGTGAGGGCAATAAATCACACCAGCCCTGACAGATTTGGGCAGCACACCTCTCTCAACAAGGCAACTAAGGTAAGTACCATGAATGAAGGTAAGGAAGGTGGAATTTCCTATAATTTGATTCTCAGTTCAGAAATAAAAGGGTATGAGCAAAATACAGAGGAAAAAGAACTGTCTTGCCTTCCCACCCTCGAATCCAAGGGACTGTGAGTCATAACACGCCACAGCCAATGTTAATCACAGTCCAAAAATGTACAAACAGGGTGATGGCGTGAGGGACATCTCGTGCTGAGCTTCCACTGCCCTGCCTGCAGCAGGCTCCTTAAAACTCCTTTTAAATTCCCACTCTAATATATCATAAGTGACAGAAAAACTCCAAGCACTGACTACTTTTAAGAAGGTTTATTACTCTTCTCCTTCCCATATGTGCACGGAGACAGAAAGTTCTTCCTAAAATCGAGGGGAATACAAATCATGTACAGGTCAAGCAGGAGCCAACACAGTGAGTGATCAGACAACTCTTGATGAAACCAATATGGTGTTACATAAATCAGGACCAGAGCTTAAACACGACTGAAGGATGAACTTGTAAGTGGGTCACCTTATGCAGAGCATTATGAAATTAGTTAGCATTCTGCAGCGGCTCGCCATCCAACAGCTTTACACGATGAATAGGAATGAAGCCTGATTTATTGAGAAAACAAATTAAAATGGGAATGGCAGTATCTCCTGCCCGCTCTGCTCCGAGCGGAGCGCACGAGGCTGGGGCTGCCTTTGATCACTCCCCAGCAGCTGCACGGGAACACACCGACTGACTTTGAACGCTCCGAGCTGTGGCTTTGATTACAGGCAGAGGAGGAGTGGGGCTATTTAAAGAACTTGGTCAATACCCACAACACCCCTCCCACCACTGTGACATCTTCCCCCTGCCCACAACAGCTCAGGTGAACTCCTGGTTGTTCTCACTTCTAGTGATTACCAGAGGAGGGAAAGGAGCAGAACCCAGCACAGGCCTCCCACATCCACTAAAACCAGTCACACCAGTACCCCCCTCCTGACACCCATTCAAAGAGCCCAGTAAAACAGAGCTCCCAGAGACCTGCAGGACTTGCCCTTTGCCCAAACAGTGCTGGGCCTGTGCCATGCCAGAAGATGATCTGGGTGCCTGATCCATTTAATAGCATTTGTACAACTATTCTCTAATCCAAGACTTCATATCAGAAATTTTAATGTTTTCTCATCATGTTTGCTCATGGTTTTAAACTAAAAAAAGGTCAAACTAGATTAGATATACCGAAGGAATTCTTCCCTGTGAGGGTGGGGAGGCCCTGGCACAGGTTGCCCAGAGAAGCTGTGGCTGCCCCTGGATCCCTGAAGTGTCCAAGGCCAGGTTGGACAGGGCTTGGAGCGACCTGGGCTGGTGGAAGGTGTCCCTGGTGGAACTGGATGAACTGTAAGATCCCTTCCAACCCAAACCAATCTGGGATTCTATGATCCTATAAAATACACCCAAATAAAAAAAACATCCTTGGCCTGAATAAGTTCACTTATCCATATTTTTTTATTTTTCATTCTAAACTAGTTTTTAGACCTGACCAGACCCAATGAACAGAAGACTGTCAAATTACAATCAGAATTAAGAGATGCATTAACTGGTTTTCCTGTGCTGCTGACCAGTAACCAAACCCCCAGATAACTGCTAAGCCTAAACTGTCTGTTACTTGGTGGCTACGAGGACAGACAGAGGAAGACTTTGCACCTAAGGTGCATCTTAGAAATTTTACTCTACCAGTATTAAACATAATACTACTACTTTACAGACAGACCAGCATAGACCATGGGCTCTGGAAAGGGCAATCACTCTAAAACATCCCGTTATTTGCTCATCAGGCAGTGCTGGGGGTCACCTGCTGTCACCTGGCTGCACATCCCCACAGCCCAGACAGGAGGAGTTACCCTGTGATGAAGCTATGGTGAAGGAAAAGCTTTTTTTAATGAACCACACTAAAGAAAATACCTTGTATGAGAGTAATTATTGCTGACAGACTCGATTTTTGTCATGCTTTCAAGCTTCTTAACTGACTTTCCACTGCGCTTCAGAGAAAAAACCCAAATGAAAGGAGCATTTCCAGTAAAGCTTTTAGTGCATGCATACACTCAAGGGGTGTCACAAAATGATTGTTTCAGTTTAGGTCAGGATGCCTAACACCTTCACACATATGAATCAACCACATGCCAGCTATCAAAGATACTGTATTTTAAGAGGTGTGATCTCGCAAGTTGTGCTCGAGCAGGTAACGGGTGGTGATAATTCTGACAGAAATCCTAAAATTTTATTTACAGATATAGCCTCAAAGCAAAAAGTGGAAAAGTCTCCCTTTTTAAAATGGAAATGGAGTGGCCATTTTAGAGCACCGTCTGCTGGGGTCCTGCTTGCACACAGACACCCTGCAACCACAGCAAGGCTGCTGAAAGAGCAAGTGTGGAGGAACAGCCAACCTCCACACTCGTACGGGTGTTTGAAGAACAGAGCTCCCAACGTGCCCCTGACATCAGCCATCCCTGAGCAGTCAGTCACCACCAGGCTGGGGCTTGGGATCTCCTAAAAACCTACTGCAGGGCAGGGAATTATGATCCCTAACATCCGCATGGGGTCATCTCTGGCTGGCCCAGTATGAGGCACCAGAGGAGAAGCTGCCTGAAAGGTAAGTGGAGATAAAAGCTCCATCTCATACCTCGGACACTGGCAGCAAAAGCTGGACACAGATTTGTGACAAGGGTCTGGGGTGACAGGACAAGGGGGAATAGCTTCCCACTGCCAGAGGGCAGCATAGATGGGGTATTGAGAAGGAATTCTTCCCTGTGAGGGTGGGGAGGCCCTGGCACAGGGTGCCCAGAGAAGCTGTGGCTGCCCCTGGATCCCTGGAAGTGTCCAAGGCCAGGTTTGATGGGGCTTGGAGTAACCTGGGCTAGTGGGAGGTGTCCCTGCCCATGGCAGTTGGGTGGAAATAGGTCCCTCCCAACCCAAACCAATCTGGCATTCCTGGAGTGCTAAAATCATGTAATATGAAACCACTTTACTTCAACCTTGTTTTGTTAATGACTGTGACAAGTCACTTGCATTGAACAAGTGCCATGACACAGCAGCCCATGAGGTTTTCCCCAGGAACTCCAGGTTCAGCAAACTGCTTTACAAGGCCACACACCTCAACAAAGCACAACAGATCTCTAGTGCACATCGACCAGCCAAGTGAATAAACCACAACTGCTCGGAGGTGACAATATCTGAGATAATGTGATGGCCACTAATTACACAGCCACCAAACTAAACTGAAAACCACCTGCATGTGACACGCACAAGGGTCTAACAGGACAGCTACGCTCACCATGGGCAAGGACATCACCACAGAGCTCTCCATCACCTTCAAAGATGGAGCAACCACCACCTGCACAAACTCACTCATTGTTTCAAGGGGATGGAAGGAGAAGAACCAGCACAGCACCATGTCTGCAAAGCCAAGTCACACCATTCCTCCTCCTGACATCCAAAGTGATCTAAAATAAACTGAAGGCCAAGTTTAAATTGCAGCACACTGACCAGCCACAGCCTGGCCCACCCTGGAGCACCAGCAGCCCCTCACTCTCCCTCATCAACTCAGCCAAAGCCGTGCTTAAGTCATGTGTTTTTTTGAGAAAAGCATCTGGTCTTTCTTTAGAAGGCAAAGATGATGAACTATGTCTGACTACAGGCTATTCCAGTGGTAAATAACTGTTACAAACATGTGATTAAGCTCCTTTTTATGTCACTAACTTCCAGTCATTGGTATTTTTTTGTGTCTCTTCTGTAGTTATTCCCAGGAATTTGGTCTCCGATCCCCTTCTAACTATTTACATACTCTGTGAAATGTTTACCTAATGTTTCTTGCTAAACTGAAAACACTATTTTTGCTTGCTGGCTTTTCATTTCAGCTTTAATATCATCTTCTGTGGTGGTTATTTTTTGGCATGTTCTTAAATATTGCAGATCATTAACAAGCTGGATTGCAGAAGCACATTTAAAAAAAAATAAATCAGCAAAGAACTGGCACGTTTCCTAGCATTAGCATTTCATTCCAAGACCTTTGACATATGTAATATACATAATTTCCAGTGATGAGTGAAAGAGAAGCTCAGCTCACTCCCCAGCGGTTCAGGGGAGGGGGATTACAGAGACAGGATAACCAAGGGCAGGGACAAATGCTCCTTAGTGTGATTCCTGTACCAGCACTCGGTAAAACAATGGATTTTAACCAGCAGAACTGGCATCTGTCCTTAGGAGAACAAAGCCATAAACCCCAGCAGCCCGGTACCTTTGTGCAAGGTGCACAGAGTACAGACTCAGGTGACCAATCCACTATAAATATAACTAATCCACAATAAATTCAATGATGAGTGAGTTTGTGCCCAGTGTAGGATCATTAAATGGGAAAAAAACAGGAACCAGCTGAAGGCAGCTTATTTCCAGCTCTTGCCTTTGAAAGCCTGGCTCAGTTTGGCCTGTGTGCTGTGTCACCTTTACTGGGAGCACCTTTCCCTGTGCTGTAACCTGGGTCTGCCCCGACGTCACTACTGTTTTGCCGGCCAAGAAAAGGAACAACTGTTGGATTACTTTGTAGGAACAGCTTGACTTTCTGCCCCAGACACTAATTCCAGGCTGGCCTGTTGGAAGGATCATGTGAGAAACAGAACCCAAACCTATCAGCAAGCACTGGGTTTAAGCAGCAGCATCTGCTCAGCTGTGTTTCCTCCCAA